ATCTTTTTTTTACATCTAATTGGGGGGTTTTATTTTAAAAAAATTACTTTCAAGGTACTCAAACAAGTGTGTTTAAATATTTAAATGTATTTTTCCCGTAAAGTATGATTAGCTTCATAAAGAGTTTAATCATGTATTTATCTATTTTAGATTTAGAAAATTTAAACATTTTCCCCCTAATCTTTAATTTCTTCATCTTATCAAAAGATAATTTGAATAATTGGAATTTAAAAAGTTTAAATTGAATTTTTCGGTCATTTTGAGTAGAAAACTTGTAATTTCACGGAGTGAAAGGAGAAACTGGGAGAGTAGCATTTTTAAATGGGTTGTATACATTCCAATCATTCTTTAAATACAATGCATTGCTATATTACATAGAAGGCAAAGAACAGTTCCTGTTAAATCTAGTTTTTTTTTGACTATGAATCAAATCAAATAGGCTTGTGTTATGTTATATGTTTGGGTCCTACAAAGGAATTGAGGCTTTGCCAAAATTTAAAACTTAAATTATTCTATCCATAAGAAGTCATAGTTTGAAATATCTAAGGTCTACGACTTTGGGTTGTAAAAATATAGGGAATGGAACATCAGAGTTTGTGGTAAAGACTCTATTCCTTTAGTTTTCTAAATTTTGTGTTTTTTCAAATAAAAACCAAAATATTTACATAATAGTTATTTTTCAACAATTCACACCTACAGAATAGAAAACCAAACAACAAATAAAATTAGTTTGTAGGGAAGGGGGGAGGAATTTCTCTTTCCCCCACCCCTCCCCTACATTAATCCTTTATATGAAAGTTAGTGTAATGCAATCGGACAGGATAAAGATAAAGGGAATAAAATTATTCTCTGGTGAATTCTATAACAAGAGAATATAGGTTTCAGAACTTTTATTGGGGGTGAAAGGGGTATTCAAATGCAGGGTCTGTAATTTGAAATTGAACACAAATGTACTCATTTGACCGACATCGTAGTGTTTGGGGTTTCTCGCAGTTAAGACGTTTTCTTCTCAGCTCTTTTAAAAATTAAAATCTCAGAAAAGATATTTCATAAAGGAAAATTAGAAAATGTGAATCAATTTATTGCTAAAAAGAACAAAATTTAAGTCTCTTTCTGAATGCTAGAGTATATAATATAACAGTTTGTTTTCGCTCTATAGCAAAAGCATTTGCACGTGTTATAACATTTCAGAGGTTAGAAAACAGTGAGACCTTGATGTATAACTGTGGAATAGAAAGACTAATTTCAAACACAAGTTAATATTAATTAGTAAAATGAATATTAAATACAGAAATTGTGCAGTGTACACAGACCCCTTTAATACATGATTTTCCAGCTATACTTGTAAAACTATTGCTTTATAACAACATCTAATGCACAAGTGGTCGGCGAATATTTCAACTATAAATAATGCTGTTAATTTAAAACTTTTCTTTGTTTAGATATATGTTTATGTGTCTATTCTTTAAAAAATTAGTGCAAATAAAAAGTTTAATAGAAAGTCGTCTTATTATATTGATATATATGACGATGACTGTTTATAAGTTGTCAGATCTTTTTTTAACACGATGTGTTACAATGATTTGTTGGTCGAGCGCTGCGGTGCAACAGTAATTCTTGGAATCCTTTGAATTTTAGAAACCTATACATTTCTTGAATTTAAAAATAGGTTCAATAATGCCCTAACTGGAGTATGGAGTACAAATACTTGTCATAATTTAGTATTTTTGTGCTTAAAAGTTGCAGCCCTAAATTTGGCATATTTTTTGGCATGCGTTAGTTGTGTACGCATAAATGTCGAGATGGCAAAGTAAGTGGGAGGG